ATGTGCCTAGTCAAGCACGGAAAATTTATACACACTCATTGGAAGAATCACCCCGGATGACATTACACTTAAATGCGTGCGTGTGTTTCATTGTGTATACAGTATCCATTTTTCCGGTCGTTTGTTGTCGTGATATGAGGTTGGGCATGAAGAAGAGAACACTCGTTTTCCTACAATGTGCAGACACACGCAAGTGTGGGAATTGGTCACATTTCAACAATTCACCGAACACATACCATCCTTTGTCCAAAAGCCCACGAACGCGGAATCTTGATCCTTTTCACCACTCACGTATTGCACCGAGGCCTGTTTGGAGGATAGAACAAAATTTCCAGTAAACATGGAACTGCGTATCACACATAGCCTTTCGACTAGAATTCCTAAAGTAGCTATAAATTTGTTGGAATGCATGACACGAATGGGACATTGTCAAATCTGACCGTACAACCCCAAACAGTGGATAAATTAGAGGTAAGAATAACGCGTGTCAGTAAGGAACCAGGGTAGAAACAGAATATTCCACCGTGCGAGTACAACCACAATAGGAAATCAATTTAGCTTGGGAAGACAACATTTAACAGATAAATGAATGTGCTTGGCAGTGGTGTATTTTTTACGAGAAAGGAGCGGTTTGAACGAAGAAGATTTTCATGTGTTAGGGTTCTGCTGCAATTAGGAATTGAGAAAGTTCGAACACGGCGTGTCCCTGTATTGATGTGCCACTTGCAAACATCAGATAACAGCTTAATCGAATTCCGGTTTGAATAATTAATCATTATTGAGAACATGCTTCATTTTGAAGTCATTCTTGACGTTCACACAGGGAGTGACCTAAGGCTTTCATGAAAGTGTTGGTTCCGTCGCAACCGATCATACTGCCTTCAACTTTTCTAGTTTCTTCGTATCCCCAATATAATTGTCAAAATGATTTCCATGTGTATTTATTAGATAATATTTGTGTCACTAACAATGAGTTGGTCTTGAATAGATTTCGGCGAACGGAATGAATAACACCAAAAACCTTTGAGTTATTGTGCTGATTGATCAGCTACACGTGTTGCTAGTTCGAACTCAATTTCGCATTTCATTGCATCGTCTAATTTATCATTTCAGTCCCCAGGATCAACCGTATGTTACTATGAAACTTTGTTATGAAGCAGTGATATTTATTAAAAGAGTATTAGAGAACATATGAAAGAAATACATATGCAGGCGCCCCCCCCCCTCGCCGCC